CTCTAGCAAAAGGAGAGTTGCCGCTTTGCCCAAACTGAAATTCAACCATTTTAGCTTTTAGTCAAATCGAGTATATGTGACATCATTTTATTGCCTCACTCTGAAGTTGGGTATTTTTTTTGGCAAAACACATGTACATAATTATTATCCTCATTGATTATTGTGTTAAAAACTATGGTTGGTTGCCTATTTTTGTTGTTCCTTTGTTGACTTGTTGTTTCTTATATATTAGGGAAAAATACTTCCTGCCCCAAAAACAGGAGAAAATGTGCCTCCCACCCTAAGACTTTTTTAACGGGTGCTTTACCTCCAAAAGTAACATTTTTATTCTTTAAGCCCCAAAAACACAAAGCCTAATAATTTTACACAGATAAAGACTATAATACCCATTCTCTCTCTAACCCTACAATCCCTCTGCTCTCCTTCCTCCCTCCCCCACCTCTCCACCTGTCGTCGCCCTCCTCCTGCTATCCTCTATCTTCTCCGCCACCGTCGCTCCGGTCATCCACAACATCCTCAAGATCCATAACATGGAGAAAACTCTAGCACGGTTCGAGGAGTATAGAGAGATCGTCCGCTCGAGGGCCGAGCGAAACTCCTGTGACAATGGGGGGCGCACATGTCTCTGTCGGAGGAGTTGGAGATCGCTTTCCTGCACGTGTTGAGTAACTGCTAGTATGGTGCTTTCTCTCAGGAGATCTGGATCTGGAATGCCTATTGTGATGGGAAGTACCATTCCGATGTTCGCGGGTTGGAGATCTGTTTCCTTCATGATGCTTCGTTGGTGACCTCGAACTTGCTCGAGATGACCTCGTTCGAGGGCTTGAGCTCTCCGTGCAGTTCTTTGGCGATATGGAACCAGTTCGCTCTGGTTTTCTTGCACGAGGACTTGCACTACTTTAAATTTGGGAAATTTAAAAGGCTAAGCTGGCAATGCTTTAAATTGGGGAAAAAGAAACAATAAATAGACAATGATATTTGTAGCAAGGAAAGTTAAGATTCTAATTATGGGGTAAGCGAAAACAATTCTCCATGCTAGTGGTTTTAAAGAGAGAGAATATGACGCACAATACCCTGTTGTTGGTTTCCTTCTTCTTTTCCTCCCTATTCGTTCCTTATTGTTATGGCATAATTGGCTTATTGGCTGTTGGTGATGTAAATATAGCTAATTTTTCTGGCTAATTAGCTTATAATTAGTTGTAGTGATGGAATATCAGCGGGTGGTTTTAAAACTTCTGTCGGATTTCGTTAATACGAAGGTTATGAGTTTGTTGTTAAGGTTACGGGTTGGTTGTTAAGGTTATACGGGTTGCTTGTTAAGGTTAGGGGTTGCTTGTTAATGTTACATGTTGGTTGTTAAGGTTATGCGTTTGTTGTTAAGGTTACGCGTTAGTTGTTAAGGTTACGGGTCGGTTGTTAAAGTTACGAGTCGGTTGTTAAGGTTATGGGTCGGTTGTTAGGTTACGGATCGGTTGTTAAGGTTACACGTTAGGATTTATATGTATATATATTTTGAGTGATATGAATACTTTGGGCCACTTGGCCTAGTGGTAAAGTTTAGGAGTTTGGATAAGATGTTAGGGGTTCAAACCCCTACGGTCACAATATATATTTAAGGGTTTTTGAATTCTAAAAATATTTTTAGAATATTCGTTGTTAAGGTTACGAGTTTGTTGTCAATGTTACAGATTTGTTGTTAAGGTTATGCGTTTGTTGTTAAGGTAACCTTAACAACGAATATTCTAAAAATATTTTTAGTATTCAAAGAGCCCAAGAACCTTGTTGTCAATGTTACGAGTTTGTTGTTAAGGTTACAGGTTTGGTTGTTAATGTTAACGGGTTGATTGTCAAGGTTACCTTAACAACAAACGCGTAACCTTAACAACAAACCCGTAACATTGACAACAAACCCGTAACCTTAACAACGAATATTCTAAAAATATTCGGCTCTTAGGTTTGTTGTCAAGGTTACCGGTTTGTTGTTAAGGCGCGTTTGTTGTTAAGGTAACCTTAACAACGAATATTCTAAAAATATTTTTAGTATTCAAAGAGTCCAAGAGCCTTGTTATCAAGGTTACGGGTTTGTTATTAAGGTTACGGGTTTGTTGTTAAGGATAAGGGTTTGATTGTTAATGTTAGAGGTTTATTGTCAAGGTTAATTTCACAACAAACGCGTGACCTTGACAACAAACCCGTAACCTTAATAATGAATATTCTAAAAATATTTTTGGCCCAAGAGCCCCAAGGCCCATCAAAGACCCTTAAATATATATTGTGACCGTAGGGGTTTGAACCCCTAATCTCTTATCCAAACTCTCAAACTTTACCACTAGGCCAAGTGGTTCAACGTATTCATGTCACTCAAAATATATATACATATAAATCCCAACGTGTAACCTTAACAACTGATTCGTAACCTTAACAACTGATCCGTAACCTTAACAACCGATCCGTAACCTTAACTACCGACCCGTAACCTTAACAACTGAACCGTAACCTTAACAACCGACGCGTAATCTTAATAACCGATCCGTAACCTTAACAACCGATCCGTAACCTTAACAACCGACTCGTAAACCTTAACAACCAACCCGTAACATTCACAACTGATCCGTAACCTTAACAACAAGTACGTAACCTTAACAATTCCCCCCCCCCCCCCCCCCCCCGCCACCGTCGTAGGCCTCTTTCAAGGCTTCTGAGGTTTGGTTTGCTTAAGATGACCTCAAAACAAGTTAAAATTCAAATACTAGCGGAATAAGGTTTGTAGAATATTATAGCCGTCATCAGCTCCATGCAAAAATTTCTCACCATCAGTTTCGTAAAAAATTTCCCCACTTAAAAAAACATCATTAATTGCACCGGGAGAAAGCCCAAAAAATTTCCCACTATCGTCAACGTCGTCGGCAACGGTCAGCCCGTAGCTCCTGAGGAAGCAGTCTAGCTCCCGCTCCGACATCGTCTCATACTGCGCGCGTGTGTACCGCGGGTATGCAACGACATTTAAAAATAGCTGCAGTCGCATCTTTCCTTCCCAAATTTTCACCGCCGTCGATGTCGATGCCGCTGAAAATTTTTGGAGGGAACTAGAAAAAACCCAGTTGAAATCATTACAGTAACATCATAATAAAGAGAGAGAGGGAAGGGTATTATGGTCTTCACATATTTTAATCTCCTGGGCTTTGTGTTTTGGGGGCTCAGAGAATAAAAAGGTTACTTTTGAGGGCAAAGCACCCGTTGAAAAAGTTTTGGGGGGTGGGAGGCACGTTTTCTCCTGTTTTGGGGGCTAAAAGCATTTTCCCGTATATATTATCATGATTTTAAGAAATACCTCCTAAGGTTTTAAGTGACACTTTGACACCCCCCTCTAGCAAGGTTGGAAGTTAATTTGAATGTAATCATAATAGAACATTATATTTACCACTACGCTTGTAGAAATATGTATATAATTACTATATCGAAAGTTGATGATTATATAAAAGAACAGATGGTTATTTTACTAGAAGTTAAGAGGAGGGGGGGGGGGGGGGGGGGGTGA